TCTAGACTCATAACCTGGAGAATTGGAATCAAACCCCACCTTTGCCATCAAGTCGTTAGGTAACCTTGGTAAATTAAGCCTTTCCATATCTCCAGGCTTTTGTTTCCCCAAACAGAATGCTGAACCAAATAAACTCTCAAGTTGTTTTAAAAGTAAATGGATAATAATGATTCTGTTTCAACAAAAGTATTAAATGATACTACAGCTTTTAAATTCTATAGTTGAAGTCAATGGATAATTAAAAATGTTTGGCTAATTCTTCCTGTTTGTACTCTCTTGCTTAACATATTAGCATCTATGTTTATCTGTAAGATTTAGTCTTTCCACAAAATCAGCTAAGTTTAGGGGCGCCTGGGTGGCTCAGTCGGTTAAGCATCTGACTCCTGATTGCAGCTCAGGTCATTATCTCAGGGTCGTGAGATGGAGCCCCACTTTGGGCTCCACACTCTGCGGGGAGCCTGCTTGGGATTCCCTCTCTCCCTCTCCCTCTGCTCCTCCCCTGGCTCACATGCCTGCCACTTTCCCCACTCCCGCTCACTCTCTCTAAATAAATAAATAAATAAAATCTTTTTTTTTTTTTAATCAGCTAAGTTCATTTGGGGTAAAAAAAAAATGGCTATTGAATCATTCAGCATGCTAGTATTTCAAAGCAACCAGCCAACAACTGCCATTAGCATTGTCTATTTCTCATGCCAGTCTAAGAAGCATGAAATTTACTGATGTTTTCCTAACCCAAGCTTCCCTACTGTGCAAAATGAATAGTTAAGCAGAACATTAACAGAACAGTTTCATTTGTAACTCTAGCAGTGAAGACTTCTCACCACTGTGACACAGAAGGATACACACTTAAAGACAATACATTTATTTAGTGGATATGAACGTCTTTTGACTAGAAAAAGAAATAACAATCATCTGCAGTACTTTAAATAGAAAACATCTGTTTTTCTTAACATACTTCAAATACTTTGAATTTCCTGATTAGTTGTTATATGAGAACTGTATTTCTGGAAGACATAATGAGGCAGTTTAAAGATGAGTCTTAAATGATCTTCAAAGCAATGTGAAGAATAATGCTCATGCTCTGAGTAAGGATAGCTAGACCAGACCCATAAGCTCTGTAATATGAACAAATACAAAATAATTCTTTCAACTATTTGCATTTACATCAAAAGTTCTATTAAATATTGCAAGCAAAGGAGGATGATATAAATGAGTGGAGCATAGTGCTACATGAATGAAAATACAGTTCTGTACTCTTACAGCATGGCAACAAAATCTAAGATGCTATTAAAGCAGTTTTTGCTTGACTAAGCCAAACATGAAGATTTTCAAAGTAACGACATGAAGCATCTTTGTGAGCATTACACAAATGTGTACATACATCACAGAGTAGGTTCAAGAAGTGTACATACGCAAACACATCTATGGGTAATTACTCCAAGCTGGAGGGTGTATATTTATTTTAGCCACATCAGCCTTTCCTCAGCAATTTGTAACACAAAATGGGAGGATAATCTATTTTTCTCATAAAAGTTTATAAAAGACGCATTGTATAAATATTTGCAGGTGATTTCTTTATTTTTCACCCATAATTCTTTTCCTGCTCCATAGCCAACAAACAAACAAAAAAGAGTAGTTATTATTGGGAAATAAGTATTTCAAATCAAATGCCAAAGGATAACAACAAGGAAACAAAAATATGGAATCTATGAACACTGAAGGTTAAGGGCCTCACACTTTTTAAAAATCAGGCAAACATGTGCTGAGCACCTATTATGTACCAGACTCTATACTGGGGAATAAGGATCCAGAGAGAAAAGAAAAGCTTCAAGGAACTCACAATCTATTCATGGATAAAAACAGATAAAAAAGCAAACAAAAAACCCTCAATATGATCAGGGTCATAAGTGGAGTATGTATAATGTATAAAATATTTAGAGAACACAGACAAAAGAGCAATTGATTCTGCCAGGGAGTAACTAGGGCTAAGAGTTACACAAGAAACATGTGGATTTGACCTTTACATATAAGTAGAAGACAAGAATATTGAGGACATTATTTCTTCAAATTGCATGGATAATAATAAAGTTTTAAGAATCTAATACATTTCCTTCAAGACCTCTCTTCAAATTCCTATGACTTCTCTGTATGTACTAATGAATTGATCTCCCAGATGTAGTGTTAGCTTAAATACAGTAGAGAAAAAATAAACAGTAGGAAAAGCTATTATGGTGTGCTATTATTTTTTACATAAAGAAAGGGATATATAAGATATATAAGTATATACATACAAGTATATACAAAATTTTACATGCATACATTTATTTGAAAGGCTACACAAGTCATTGATAGTATTTGTTGTCTCTGAGGCAGGATTCTGAGGTGCTAGGGACTCGATGTCTTTTCTGTACTGTTTGAAATGTTTACCTACATGTATTACCTACTTAAATAAATGAACAATTCCTTAAAACAAAACACTTTCTATGGCTGTTCCAACTAAGAAATAACATAGTCTTATTTTACTCTGCATATTCCCAGGGGTGTAAAACAATTCAGCATGGGTCATACCAGCTTCTGATTTTTAAGGGAATTAAAATTGAACTCACAAACCATAAGATTGTAGCTAAAGGGCTCCTCACATTTTAGTACACTCAGGCAACGAAAGTTAGAGATATTAAGAGACAATACCATGCTCCTTGTTAAAGATGCGGAGATTGTATCTACTCAATACCAAGACAATTAGTCAATATGACCAATCCAATGAAAAAACTGGGCCAGTTCAAAGAGGGTACAAGTCAAATAAGTTTCAATAGTTGGGCTGCGCTCCTAATGCAAACTGGCCTTCAGGATATCTACAAGAGATGAAGCCCTATGTTTAGGATAGTATTCCAAATACTGAATGAAGACTTTTTGCCTTTATAGATTTTTTTTTTTTAAACTTGGAATACTTTGTCCTTTTCTTTGCAAAATACTCATCCAACCCATCTTTCCAGGCTCAGTTCAAAAGTTCTCTTGTACATTAAATCTGATCTTTATCACTTGACTGAGGTCTTTCTTCTATAACTGGAAATTCTATTGCCCTTACAATCATCATCATGGTTTAGCACTTAACAACTTGCTAAAGTTTATGTGTGTGAGTTTTAACTCCCCCAGGGAACTGTAAATGATACAGATGGCCTATCAGGTTAGGGAAGTAGACATGGTCTACTAATCCAAAACAGATCACAGAATAAACAGTATACCAAAACTATAATACATAGTTTAGGGAACCAAGAATATTAAATAAATTCATAAATTCAGCACAAATATTATGCACACATATTAAAGCCAGAGTTTTAGGGAGGAAGGTGATGGCAGTGGGATGGGAAATCAAACCTCTTCCAGAAAGGAAGAGATGTAGTTTCATTCCCTCTTTTATTGAACAAAATTAAATTATGGATAATGCATATGGAGAAGGTGGCTTATGTGGTTGTAACTTTGGTTTCCTGAATCTGAAAAAACAAGTTGTGACATCAAATGCACAAATGTAAACTAACAGTACCTTCTACACTTCTTCTATACTTATTGCAGGGCACAAGGGGGACGTATAAAATGTAAATGCACATTACAATGGAATGTTTTTAGGAGGGAAACATTAAGAATAAGGCACATAGAGACCATCAACTCTAGTGTAAATTTTTTTACTTTAAATTTTGAGCAAACAATACTTTTCTTTCAATTTTCATCATTGAGCCTTTTTTTTTTTTTACATTTCTGACAGAAAGCATCCTCTGAAGAATACATGACAAATTACCAAGAAACATAAGATAAATAATATTTTACAGGGCCACGCCTTTACCAATGTGAAGGAATTAATTCTTGAAGACATTTCACCAAGTAAATAGGAGACTTCCAGCTTGAAATAAATGCATAATGATCTGAATTCAAAAGTCTAGAGCACATAAAGTGATATCTATACTTGTAAATCATGAAACACAATGACATCTTGGATAAATTTTTAACAAGTAACTTAAATCAAAATGACAATATGACATGTGTTGGGAAGTTTTAGTCTAATTTTATCATGTCCTGACTGTTAAAATACACAGTTGTGAGGTTTGTTGTCACTTTGTCCATTTGGGTTTATAACGCCAGCAATAAAAAGCTGTTGTTGTTTTGTTTTATTTTTTTCTCTAAGAGGCTATATATAGGATTTGGACAAGCTCATATCAAGTGAAGGGTCATGCCTGACTGATGGTTTCATTACCAAAATAGAAAGGCATTTCAAGTAACGCTTAACTGACATTTGCATACACTATTTATTTAATAATTCCTTACTTAAGCAACCAAGCAAAATAATCATCTAAAAAAAACTAAAGCACAATTTGGGAAAGATTTAAATTAAATACCAATACCTAGATAAAGTTTGATATACTTCTTCACTAATTTTTCCTCACAGATTTAACTGGAAAATAACCTTCATATCAAACAGTTGCATAGTCATTACATTAAGAAAAGCAATTAAGGTCACCTGCTAGTGAGTGGAGAGAATTCTACTAGGCTTTGCCTTTTTGCCTCCTGATAATGCTCTTTTTACTCCTGGGTTTTCTGTGGTTCTATTAAGACTTAGTAACCTGGCTCCACACTGCTGGTGTCTGAATGATTTAGAAATTCCATAATGAGATGCTGTTACTAGGATTGCCTCCAGAAGCTTCATTTCACATTATCCAGCCCAGTTACAGAGTGAGGGCCACACCCCTGGGCCCAACCCCTTGGAAGCTGCTTCACCCCTACTGGCTTCCCCATTGTGCCAACTCATAGGTCTCCTGCTCCAAATGGACACGAAGTACTTCCAATTTTTAAAGAGAAAAATAGTTTTTCTCCCCATTGTCCTGCCAAAAGAATTCAAACTTAAAGTATTATAATGGTTGAGAGCAAATGAAAAATTCATTCAGTAGCAAACCACATTATGTGGTCCCCCTGGAGATGCACTACCCCGGTTCCCTTCAAGAAGGACTTACTGCCTGGTTGGGGCAAGTGTGGTCATCAACAGCCTTTATGTGCCAGGATCTTCACAGTCTGCCTCAGCCACTTCACACCAGGTTATGCCCTCCAAGGACAGCTGACAAACCCCAGGGACTGAGCCAAGTGGGCTCATTAAGATGTAGCCATTTCAGAGTTACTCCAGACTCCTGGGAGGGATAGTATGTACTCCAGAGCTCCCTGCTGGGTGGGTTGAGGCTTTGTGGTAGCAGCTGACATCTCTCTCTGTGCAATCCCACCTTCTTCCCCTTCTTTTCACTGGTGTTGATTCCTAATAAAGAGCTTGCACCCCAAATTCCAGCTCATCATCTGCTTCTGGATAACCCAATCTGCAACATAGGCCTCCATGAGTCTGATTCTGTTCTTCAATCTCTATTAAAATCATTCTCCTCTTCCAAGGTCCAGCTCAAATGATACCTTCAAAAAACCTTTTTTCATCCCTCCAATTGGGAATAATTATTCATTTCATTCATTTTACTCTATCCCCCTGAATTATGCCTGTATCTCTGTGTATCAAGTCAGTATTTTTTATATTAAAGTTAGTAGTTTAAATTTTAAGTTTATTGAGAGCATAGTCTATGTCTTATTAATTTCTGTATGCCCACGTGCATAACAGATAAGAGTTATGAATGAAAGAAAAAACTAATGCATGATTTGGAATCTACATATACCTCTTCTCTTTTCCTTCTCCATTATAACTAAAAAAGACCCCATCCCCTTTCCATCCCCAACCCCACCCCTTTCCATCATACTGCACTCACACCAGCCTTCATTCTGCTCTTTGAACATAATAAGCTTATTCCCTCTTTAAAGACTTTATGTTTTGCTATTCCTCTGTCTGAAGTGCCATGTCCTCAATCTTTGTATGGCTAGTTCCTCCTTGCAATTCAGGTTGCATTTCAATTGTCAGCTCTATAAAGAGGTCTACTGTGGCCACAAAGTCTAAATTAGAGCCCAACCCCATCCTCAGCTATGCATTATCACATCATACTGTTTTGTTTTCTTCCTCATAGTTCCACTTTGTGATACTGTCATGTTCATTTCTCAGATGTTGTCTGCCCTATCTCTTCCCTCTTCCAAAAAAACAGGTGCCTTGTCTATCTTGCTCATCACTATATCTTTAATGCCTAGAGGATATTGGGCAAATAACAGATGACCAATAAATATTTGTTGAATGAAAATAAATGAATACTAATCTTTGGAATAGCAGCCACATAAAACATCCACAGCTAAGAGGTCCTTTGTTCTCTTCCACTGCTTGTACTTTCTACATTGAACCATAAAGTTTTTTCAGTTGTCTGTTTCTTCTATTATCTAATTCCTGAGGACAAGGACATCCTATCTTTGTATTATCACCCACTAGCATAATTCTTATCACAGAGTTACGTGTATTATAAATATTTGTTCAATGACTAAAGGAAAGCAAGGCTGGGGAGGAAGCAGAGTGACATAGAACCTATGGATAAACACAAGGGTGCACTTCACAAGAGACTGAAAAATGGCCATAGCACTCACTACTGTATTTGAGGCAAAACAGTCACCATATATGAGTAAAGCCTTACTTATAGGTTTGAACTCTAGGACTTAAAGTCATATTTAAAGCTCTTGCTGGGAAGCTATCCAAATTCTATACCATTTTCAAATGAGATTGGTGTGATATGGGTGCTCAAATTCCTAAATGCAACGCTCGGCTAATAGGAAAATAACATCAGAGTTCTCTGAGCTATTTGCACTACTAGGGCTTATGTAATACATACCAATTTTCAATTCAATTAGTTTTCATGAAGTGTCCACAGAGGGCATGACACTCTATGTAGTACAGATCCAAGTATGCTATGTCAAGGCAGGTCAAAGATTTATAGGTTCAAGTGTAAAAAGTTGTTTATTCTGTTTATCTCATTCATTTTATGTTAGAGCAAAGCCATTAAAATGTTGTGACCATTTGCTTGACCTGTGGTCCAAGTCTGAGAAAATAAAGTCCAAATTGCTACAACCGGCACTCTACAATAAAGGTCATATATTATCTTCTCAGGACATGGAGATGGAATTTGTTTATTTTATTTATTTTTCAATGGGAAAGCTCACCTGAAAGATGCAGATTAAAAGAATATTAACATTTATAAGCACAGCTATGAAAGAAATAACCCCATTCTTTATAAACAGAATGCTATCCAAGGAGTAGATGCTCTAGCTAATGGTATATTGAGGGGGGGAAAAAACCAGCCCTCATCATTATTCACATATATACTGAATGCAGATCTCTGTGCTTCAAGAGAATTATAAGACAGATGACAAAATAATACATGAGTACAAGTTAAAAAGCAATCACAAGTAGAATGTACTGAATATCATTCACAGCAAAAGCTGCAGGATTTCAGTGGAGGAAGATACTCTGAGACTGGGGTCAGAAGGGGTGGATCCTGTGCAGGGCCATTAAGCAAGGAAGACTACCACCTTATGTAACAGTAAGGTGCTTCCCCAAAACTTGAGAGAATAGAAAATAATGCTGCTTTCTGAGAGTTAAACTAAGAAATCAACACATAATTAAAGCAGAGATGTACATAGTCACTTCAGTGATACTATAAGCCTCCCAGTCCAACAAGCCTGATTTTAAACTTATTGACTTTATTAACATATCTAAAGAGAATTGCAGATAATGATCAAACAGATCTGCCCTTCAAGCACTCTCCAGGTTAGGGCACCAAATCAAACTCATGTGAGGATCCAATTCCGTTGATAGACACTGTAGGCGGCCAGCACCTGATGCCATTAGGCATTCTACTCATGCAATTCCCTTGTTTGAACTATACACTCATCAAGCAACCTTTTAATAATTAGGTTTCTCGTGTAGTTTGTCTAAAGGGAGCAATGTGCTGGTCAGGCCAACATGAACACCAGGTCTGCTCAGCAATTAAATTTCTTAATGTAAATTACTGCATTGGTATTCTGGTTTTATACATCAGTCTCTTGTGAGATTTGTTAGTGCCAGTCACCATCCCTGAGTTGTTGTAATTCTAGGCCACTGACATAATAAATTTTCAGACCCTGCCGAAGTATACAGGACTGGTTTGATTCAACAGAAATTTCATTCAAGGGTTTAGAAACCTCAGAGAGAGAGAGAGACAGAACCAAGGGGAGGAAGAGTAGTTTAGGCAGATACAGTAAGACAAATTTGTGTAGGGATTTGAATTCAATATTAAGGCATGGGAATTAATGTTTAGCAGTAGGAACTCACTGGTGAAATTTGAGTAGGGGTGCGACATGACCAAAACTGTTACTACTTAGGAGAACTCATGATTTAATTGAAGAATTAGCCAAGCAAACAACTAATTACAATACAGTATTATAAGTACGCAGAGTATTCTGAGAGCAGCAAAGAAAGTACCTGCAGTTTACTCTAGGGATGATCAGGGAGTATTTCTCAGAAGAGAAAACTTACAGTATTTTTTTAATGTTTTATTTTTTAAGATGTTATTTATTTATTTGAGAGAGAGAGAGGACAAGCAGGGGAAGCAGCAGAGAGAGAGGGAGAAGCAGACTCCCCACCGAGCAGGGAGGCCAATGTGGGGCTCAATCCCAGGACCCTGAGATCATGAACTGAGCCAAAGGCAGATGCTTAACCAACTGAGACACCCAGTCACCCCCTTACAGTTTTTTATTACACTTTAATATTCTTTCAAATTTTCCTCTTTATTTACATACTTTTTTAGTTTTCCAAGTTGTTTAGTTTTTCCAAGAGCCTCAGAAGTATATTTCTGACTTTCTACTAAATATCCCTACCTGGATATGCCACAGGAATCCCAAACTCAACATTTCAAAATCTAAATTTATGGTTTTCTCTGCCCTTCGTAACCATCCTTCTTCTCCTCATGTGTTTCCTGCTTTGGTGATCATAACCACAATGCATCTGAATATCAGACACAGCCATGCTAAATTCTCTTTTCTATCCCCAACATACAGTCAGTCCAAAAGCCTTAAAGGTTTTGCCTTTTCATTACCACTTAAACTTCTCTCCCAGGGCCACTGCCTTAGTCCACGTTTTAATCATTTCTCAGCTGGATTACTGAAATAGTCTTCTAAATGGAACCCTGCCTTCATTCCAACTAGCGTCTATCCTTTCCAGCACATCTTCAGTTTTGAAGCTAGGGTGATAGTTCATTTAGTCATCCAACAAATACATAGGTGTCAGGGACTTTCTAAACCCAGGGATAGAATGATGAACAAAAGAGACAAGGTTCTTGCTTTTCATTGACCTGATACTCTAGACAGGACATTAATTATGTAAGCAAAGAAATGACTAAAGCAGTTTTTCAGTAGTGATAAATATTATAAAGTAAATACAATTAAATGATGTGGCAGAGAGTGACTATGTTAACTAACTGGAATTTAAATGAAAAGTTGAAACTACTAAAAAAAAGGGAGAGAGAGAGTGACTGGGGGACTGGGTTGTCATTAAGGCCTCTTAGGCAATGGCAGTTAGGAGCAGGATGATAAGAGGTAGCCAGCCATATAAAGGTCTGGGGGCAAAACATTTCAGGCAGAGGAATAACAAACACAAAGTCTCCAAGATGGATGTAAGTTTAGAATGTTCAAAAATTTGGAAGAAAGCAAGTGTAGCTACAATGAGAGAATAAAGAGAAAAAGAGTGGTAGAAGATAAGGTCAGTGAATTACACAAAGGGCACTCATGTAAGGCCCAGTAAGTTTGAGTTTTAATCAAAGTGCTATGGGAAGCTATTGAAAATATATAAGTAGAAGAGCTGTGTAATTTCATCTATGATTTGAAAGTTCACTCAGGGTCTTGTGTGGATAATGGATTTAAGAAAAGCAGGAGTGTAAGAAGGAAGACGATTCTAGGGTCCAGTGCAAACGTACAGGCAGGATGTATAGAGCCATGGATGAAGGTGGTAGCAGGAAAGATGGAGAAGCAGTTGGTTTGGTGATATATTGTGGAGCTAAAGCCAATAAGACTTCCTATGGAGTGAATGTGGGAGATGAGAAAAAAATAAGAAACCAAGGATCTGTAACCTAATGGATATTGGTGTCATTTTCTGAGATGGAGAAGACTGAGGGGGAGGTTTTAGAACTTTGGGGAAAGAGTAGGAATCAAGAGCTCAGTTGGGCCAGATTAAGAGAGA